AATAATAATAATAATAATAATAATAATAATAATAATAATAATAATAATAATAATAATAATAATAATAATAATAATAATAATAATAATAATAATAATAATAATAATAATAATAATAATAATAATAATAATAATAATAATAATAATAATAATAATAATAATAATAATAATAATAATAATAATAATAATAATAATAATAATAATAATAATAATAATAATAATAATAATAATACCTTTTCATAACAATAATAACAATGATGTTATAGATAAAAATAGTAATAATAATTGAAGGAACAATAAAAATTGGTAAAAATTATCAATACGAAACGAAAAAAGTAGTGGCAACTATTTTCTTATTTTCCTTCAAGCATTTTTGATGATTTCTTTTTTTGTTATCAGTATGTAATTCGACATTCATTGGTGTTTGATAATTTATATCGCCCAATTAGGATGGATTTTTTTCCAATCTATTATCTTTTCAGTAAGGTTGAATATCTATTAACAATACTTATTGTTGTCAAACTTACAAAGCACTCTATTTCTTTACCAGTTTTATTCTCATATATTAATTAAAGATTAGGCATCAACACCGAGGTGAATAAGTTAAATATTTTCCTGAAAATAGTAAAGTTTAACAATTATGTTTCAACGTTATTCATTTCGATTTAATATTTCGAGAAATTAATTTTTTCTTTTTTTTTTTTTTGAATGATCACTTAGTAATAGAAGAAAAGTGTTTGTTTACAATTTAATTATCACTTGCGTTTTGCAAATTAATTTTCTTCGAAAGATTTTTGATTTTAAACTATTATTTATATTTATACGATCCAACATTTGATGCAGCAAATTGTTCAAAGAATGTCAACGATCAAATTACGTCAGCGGTTAAAGTATGTCAACGATTAAGTATGCTGACGATCATGTGACATATACTTCATGGTGCTATAAGTTAATTTCATTAAGTAAGGTTGTATAGAAGAAATAAATTACTAATTTAAATTAAACAGAATGCAATTTAAATGACAACATGAAACAATTAACATTTGTAGAAAACAATTTATGATCCAAATCATAAAATATCCCTCAAAAATTATTTTCTTTTAGGCGAATGCAATGAAATAATTGGGATAATTTGTCCGTTTCTTTTTTCGAAATTTTGATTTAGTGATATTTAAAAATGATTCAAAAAAAGAAACAATTAAGATGGAAAATTAGAGAATGAAGCCAACTGTACAAAATGTAATCAATGATTTGTTTCTAGTGATTATTAGTAATACATAACTACTTAATTACTAAAATACTTTTATACATTGTAAAATAAATATCAATCGATTTTGAAACGAAAAGAATGCTTTAAATAAAAGGAAACAGTTGCTAATTTGAGAAGAAATTTGCTCAATCTATTGTGGACAGCCAACGTTTGTGAATATTTCATTTTATATTCTATATAAAAATAAAAAGTCAAAAATATATTATATATAATGAGAAAAACGCTATTCTTTGATGAAATTTCTACTGTAATTGTATTATTCATACTTGCAAATAAGACATAACGAAAGAAAATATGTAAGCAATTTCACATTAATTATTTCTTAATTAACCCTAAAATTAGTTCTTGATTCACAAATTAGCATCAATGAGTAATTCCAACACTTCATGTCATTTAACTGCATAAAAAATTGCTTTGAACTGATAATATTTACAGGCAAATAATATAAATAATTTAATTTTCATTTTGCCAGCAATAAAATTTTGGAACTAATCGGTGTGTATCAGTAATTATCAACAATGGATCAGATAGAAATATCAATCATATACAATTTCTCATCACTTATCAGTTAGTTATTCGTTTTATTAATAATTAATAGTTTAAGTAAGATAGGAGAGTAGCAGTAGTAATTTTCAATTTATTATGAAGTAAATTTGGAATGAAACTTTAAAAAAGTTTTTTTTTCTCAAACTGAAAAAGAAAGAATTGTTGCCGTTCTCCCAAACTTTTTTTATCATTTGCAATGATAAAGAATTTGTTGTCGTTTTCTACTTTTTTAAATTATCAATTTCCCGATAAATTGTATAATTCATTGCTTTCTCCCTTTATTTTGCTCACTAAATCTCAAAATTATATGTCATTTGGGTAACATATACTTCCGCGTTACTGATAATTGGAAATGTAATTGTACTTGAATACTGAAACTCCAGTAGAAATTCTTTTTGCTGAATGGATTTTGTGTTGTACGTTAAAAAAAAAAAGTGAAAAAATGGCGGATTTTTCTATCATGAATTGACTTGAAAAAACAATGAATTACCAGTGAAATTAAAATGTTAGAAAGTTAATATTTGAAAAAACGAACGAAAAAATTTAAATTCTTTGTAATAATTTTCACAAAATCTTTGAAATTTTAAAAAGAAAAAAGAACCAATAAAATTGCAGGAAGTATTTCAGCAGTAATATTAAGAGCCAAGTAAATTGAAAATTTGTAAAACTGTAGGGATAAAAACACTGAAATCTTGCATGTATTTTTTTTAGAAATTAAATTTTTGAATTTTTTCGAAATCATAACAAGAATGTTTTCTTCCACTCTTTGCTTTTTTTTCTGCTCATTAAGGATACCGTATATAATTTGGAAACAATTACATTTTTAAAAAAAGAATTGAATCAATTTCCAAATTTGAAAAATGATGACAAAGATAATTACCGCCCAATTGTTTGTTCCATATACAAAGGAACCAATCAGAATATGATATTTGTGCAACTGATCCAACGATAGCTTTCAATGATTGATTATTCCCTATCACCGTATCTTCTATTCAAATTTTTGGAAAAAAAAATTGTCATGGAATTTTTCTCATAAAAATGAATGATAGATTTTTTTTTCAACAGTATTCATATAATTTTATCAAATATTTTGTGGATAATGTGACCCATAATATGTACGCTATTATTCAAGCAATTGAACCAGATTGTAGAAAGCGGTACTGTCCTGAATATTGATTACCATGGTTAGTTATTGTTCATTTGTTCATTAAAAAAAAAAAATTATACCAACAATTTACAATTACTGAGTAATCCATAAATTTCAAACAAAAGATCAAATTCCTGGACTTCCAATTATTGTGATCTCAATTTGGTTGGTTTATTCTACCACCAATCATTTGTTGACTGTAAGGTTAAATTTAAGAATAAAATTAACAGAAAGATAAATATCCTATTGAATTTTGAAAATCTAGTTGTGAAAAGTCGAACGATTCGTTGAAGTTAAATGTGAAAATTTAAGCAACAAAAAAATTCTGTAGACTTGCAGTAACTAGTGTCAACTATCTGTTTTGATTTGACAGGTTTAGCCGCCTAATTAAATTTCGAGAATTTCGAACAATGACATTTTCAATCCCCTTAATGAAATGCAACGCAGCTGTGATTGACTTGACATGATTTACCTCTTCCCTTCTCTTTTTGCCTTTGGTGTAAAAGCATGAGAATAGCTTCCGAAATTAAATTTTGGTCTTACGTTTTTCATTAGCATAAAAGATAGTTGCATTTATGATATGATGTATAATTCGTTAAAGAAATGTCATATTCATATTCATATTTATGCAAAATATCGCCCTTAACAGGGAGGTTACAGCACTTTTGTTGTGTATTATCCTATCGAATTTTACTTCTCAAAAGAAGGACAGAAATGGTTTTTGTAATTAATTTTGGATTTAAATTTAGATTCCTAATCTCTTGAATATATGGAAGTTGGAATTTTAATGATAGCGTAAACATGATAAAACTCGAAATTATTGCATCATCAAGGCGAAAGTACTCGATGGTCTGTGATTTAATTTTTAGCATCTTCTCCTGTTTTTCAATAGGTAATTATGATTGCTGTTACAAAAAAAAAAAAATTTGAATAAGAAAAAAAATAATCAGTAATTTATTCATGTTGTTTTTCTGTAGGAAAAAATTATCACGCCAATGAGCAAAAACATTAACCTCAGGAAGGCAGCAACATGATCCAGTCAATCATTTCAGCTAGAGATTTTGAAACCGCAATACGATGAATCACTCCAAATATTTCTAAATAGATGGTGTGACGATGGGTTTCATTGTTCTTTCTTTAAAAGGAATTTTATTCAGATTCAAAACATCTAAAGGAAAACAGAAAAATAGTTTCATACATGAAAAAAAAAAAATTCATGCCTTTGTACTTTTTTCCTAAAATCAAAAAAGTTTTGCAAAGCAATGCCCTCCAAAATCATCAGTTATTATTAATATCTAAGATAATATTATGTATATACTAATATCTCAGATTCTTTCAAGGGGAATTCCTTCCTTCCTCACCTTTACATCATAGGAAATGTCAACCTGCAATAAAAATGCAAAAAAAAAAAAAAAAAAAAAATACACAAGACAACACCAACTTCAGTTATCGCGAAATCTCAAAATTCACAGGATAAAAACTTAAGCAAACAAAGGAAAACTAATAAACAAAAATTTCATTAAAATTATGCCCGCAAACTATAATGACCCGATGTAAACGACTGTTGGGAATTCTTGATAAACGTGTCTGCAGCGAAAAGAACCTTCTGTATGGCATGCTTTCGCAAATGATGCGACAATCCATTTCTTTCGCGAATGCGATTGCCCGCTGACAACTGTTTCCGAGGAGGAGATGGCGATCTTGTCGACCAATGCGACTTCGAAGGCGATGGAACTAGAGAACTTTCTGATGAAACGACAACATCATCCGAATCTGATAATGTTTGCTGCATCGAGCTCACCGCATGAATGCATCGTTTCAAGACTCTACTGCTATAAGGAACATTCTTTTCAGTCAACATCTGATAAACACATCTGTATGTATCGATCCAACATTGCAATACACACAATTTGGTTTTCTCTCGTTTTTCTACCATATAACATAAATTCCTCGCCTGTAATGAGCACAACGACATTAATAACGTTAACATCATCAACAGTCAACAATCACTGCTTTACATGTGACACGATCTGAAGATACTGGTAAAAACATAAAGTGCATATGGTAGTATACTATATTATGCTGTTGTAACGCAACACAGACTACAACAATCACTCGCAGATGAGTGAAATCAGTAGGGTCGCATGTGTTACAATAAGACAACAATTGATTAATGACCATTAACAGATTCCACAAAGTCATGCAACTCCCATGCTAAGACAATTATCGCAAGAAAGAAAACGTCGAGAATATAAGTGCAATTAATCACAGGCTTTTTTTTAAAGGGCAGAAAAAGTCCGAAAGAAATATTGACCTTTTCTAAATTCTGTCGTATTGCCGCTTCGTTCCGTTGTCTACCGGGGAGAACAGCAAAGGGGGACGAACGCAGACGAAGAGCTATTTGTCGCTCAACCTCTGATTTATCGTTCAGCAGTGCTTTGTATCCATTATCAATACGACGCAACTTCCAGTATTCATAAATATCCGAAACCATATCTTCGCTAAGTGAAAGCATGGCCGCGATACTTTCCACAGATACATACAAAAAAAACATGCGTTCCATTTCTTGTAGCTGAAGTTTTGCAGTCACATTAAAATCGAATTAAGTACAAAACATGAAATATAATAATGAATTAGTAGGGGGGTCAACTCAGTAAACTCTTTTAAATAAATACCGTCAATGCAGTTGCACACAAAGCATCTGGGTTGCAAAACTTCAAGTTAGAATGAAACATTTTCTCCAATGAATGCTGCCTGCAGAGGCTAACCATGCGAACATTATCATCATCATCATTGTTGTCATCAATGCCACTATCGTTATCGTGCTCTATGCGCATTATCTGTCACCAAAAAAAACTTTTTGAAAAATTTAGAGGAAAAATTCCATATCAGAATTGACTGTTTTCGTACCCTACATTGAGAAATAAGAATCAAAATGTTAGCAAAACTGTGTTCTTTCTTTTTTCTTGCCTATTAAGGATACCACAAAGATATGCAAGTCTTAATAAGTATGATATCTTTCGCCAACTCTTTCAAAGAGGACTAATATGTGGATTGCTCAGAAATCAAACCACCACGCAAATCATACCATAAAACTATGGCTAATACTTCTGTTCCAACATTTCTGAAATCAAATTATTCTTCACCGCTAAGCAAAAAATATCAGTGTTTAACCCACTCATTTACATGCATATTCATTCTAGTAAATATGCATGTATGTTTACAACTCCTTGCGTTCGACAGTTTTTCAAACCTATAGCTTGCTCACCAGTCCACTGCGAAGTGCACAGCACACATGGAAAGCAGTTGTACACGCTTCTATGGAACACTGAATACAAGCTCCTTGTTTCGTCCCACATATCGAACATCTAAATTTTGTCGAAATGAACAACAGCCAGCTGAATTACGAAATCTAACTTTAAAAAATAGAAATTTATAAAGACGCATAGAAGGTATATCCTTAACTAGCAGCAAGCCAGCGATAAAAATTGATCCAAGAAAATTTGTTATGTAAGCTAGTAATGTTTTAAGTTATAAAGTGAGCTTATAATAATTTTTTTAATATCTATAAAATCCTCATCGACTTTGAACAATATAAAAATAAATATACCTGAGCTTCCACCGCCCATAAGGTATGTCGCAAATATTCCCTATTGGTTCACGATGAACAACATCCGCAAAACGCACTTCATGAATCCAAAGAGCGCAAACAACATGTGCCCATGTGTCACCTTCTCTTGTACATTTCATTGCTCCTCCCGAAAGCGGACACAGCGCGCAGTGAGGAAGGGCCTTAAAATTTTTAAAATATTTCAAGAATTTAAGAAAATATACATAAAATGATAACGATAAAAAAGTTGTCCATCAGTGTAACTATGACAGTATGCGTTCACAGATGTATCTCACGCTTCAATGCTATCTTCATTTGGAACTTCAAACTGATATTTCGTTAAGTAGTGAAAAACTTTACATTGTACCCAAGAAGCATGCACTTCTGGCAAAGCCATTCATCTGACGGGACAGAATCCAGTCCGTAACAAGACTGATGTACACCCACGTTGCAACCATCACAAAATATAATTTTATCATCTTCTTCATAGTCCGGCTGCAAATATTTTTAAAGTAACCATCATTTTTTATAGCTGCTAGCATTTATCCCAGATACTATGAATGAGGGTAAAATAAAAACCCTGACTCCCTTACTGGGTCTATAGTAAAATATTAATGTCAGATCGGTAATTTAAAAAAAAAAATAATTGATGCCCACATCATCGATTTTCTTTGTAAGGCAATTAAGTAGCTGACAAGAAAATAACGAGATCTTTTGAGCGAGACTTCTAGTTTTGGGCACCAAGCCAACCTTTAACTTCCTCGTAAAATTAAAGACTCAAAGTTAGACCTGACGACATATATCACAGCAAACATTTTCATCAAACTCTGCGTCTGCAGAAGCTATAGGAGAAGCAACAGATGATATGAGATCGCTATGTATTGCCTGAAATGTTTAGATGTATGACAAAAGTTCTACACTGAATTAACTTGACCTAGGAAATTCTGCACCTGAAAAACCCCGTAAAATTATTGCCCGAGGCTAGAAAAGCCTTGAATTCCAACCAATTAATGCAAACATTACCTGACAGCAAGAAACTTCCAGTTTATCTATAACTTCGCCGAAAATCTTTTCACTTATTGCTGGCAATCCAACGGCAATTCGTTTTTCATTTAATTTGCATAGATATACACGATCACGTCGATCTGCTTGATAATTACGTAATTTCGGCATAATTATATGTTTGTGTTTATCACCAGTATATCGACGATCATGAACTGAGATCAGTGAACCATGCCTTTAGAGAATTAAACGCATATGAGAAAATAGCAAATTGAGAATTAAGGCAATTAAAAACTGTTGTGTGGATCCATTAAAATGTGCAAGAAAATCACCTTTTCAAAGAAACTCGTGGCCGCACCCGTGAAACGACAGATGAGGAGCACGGAGAGTGGCGAACAACAAAATCTGGCAACTTCTTTGACAAGGGGACCTAAATTATATCAAATTTACGACAGTAATATTCGAAGAATTTTAGCAAGCAATGGCTAAAAAAATATAAAATGATAAAAAATATTACTTGCACACCATGATTCCATTCCTCTTTCCAACGATCACTCATTGATACAAATGCCGTTTCATCATCTGATGATGCGTCGCTATCCTCTTCTTGTTTCATTTTGTGCAATAAATCCGTCCTATACAATTCTGATGGAATCCCACCTAAAAAACGATAACTGTTGTACGCACAAAAACTGAATAACATGAATAAAATTGGGTGATAAAAATTAGTAGTTAATACATCGAATTTCCAAACAAAAACATTTCGTTTTTTTCCATTACTCACCATCAGCGACGATATAAAATTTCCGCTTTACCAAATACTGCCCACTATTAGCATCATCCTTGTCCTCTGCAAAGTCTGAAAAGCTGTTCCTAAATATACACACAGTTCAGTAATAAGAAAATGCTAGTCTCTAAATACTGAGCTTCAAAAGTCTTACAACCCAACGATACAGGAAATCCAAATCAAAAACAAACTTTCAATTAAAAAAAAATCGAGAATGTAGAGACTTGACTGCAATCAAATGAAACTTTCCCCTAATTAAATGAAACATTTGATTTTTAAGCTGTAAACGAACCCGTAGAAAAATGGTGTCGTTGAGAAAAACTGTCCTGATCTCCAACAACTTCACTTCGAGACACACGCGAAAAACGCTGCGGAGTGACTGTCCTATTTAAATCTAAATATTGATCAATATTACAAAGGCTATGCGTAAAATAATTAGGGGAGTGATGAAGCAAAAAGGGAGTAATAAGTAACTGCTTCATGCGACACCGTCCAATAAACGTACCAGATATATATTAAGGGAAACTTTCTGCAGCATATAATGGAAACAAAATTCCACCTTTTAATTCACAATAAGAATCATAGAAACAGAAAAAGATTTTAGGTAAGCAAAATATCAATTTCTTGAACACTTTTAAATCTCATCCTAAACTTTTACAACAATTGCAAGAACCTTATCCCAAACAGATTCAAAAAAAAACTAACTAAAGCATTCAATGCTTCGACCAGGTTCAAGGCGTGAGACTCGTAACTATGCTTTTATCGGTCGGTATAATGGAAGCAAACCTTTCTTGATGATCGGTGCTTCCTCTTCGCTGTAACAGATCTGACTGTCGTTCAAGGATGCCGTACATCGCCTACGTAAACGTCCACGTATCCCGACAACTCCATTTCTCATCGCCACCTCTAAATAACAGTAATTGCCGCGATTTTGCAAAATAGAACAATGAGAGTTTTGCACAACGAAGAATGAAAAATAATGTCAATTTATCAATTTTCTGGCAGCAAAGGCATAAATGGCGACGCAAACACATATCCACGTATACGTACGTGAGACTTGAGTGACGGAAGTGGGAGGCAACTCCTGTCAAATACAAACTTAAATCAGTAATAAAGGAACAAATTCAAGGTATAAAAACAATGTGCATGCATACATTCACATACACTCAGGCATACACGCATAGACACCACGCACGGACACACAGACACACACACACATACATACGAACTCAGGGACACAGCCAAAGAAGCATAGAGGAAGTACGCAGGAAGTTGGCACATGTCCAATTTTCTCCGCGGAATATTTTAAAGCATTGAGTTGAAACTCTCGGCTACTGTTGCAACCCAATAATGTTTAAATTCTAATCACTGCGGGGGAGGATGAGAGGTATCGATCAAAGGTCACCTTAGACCAGCATCTAAATTTAGCACTCAATTTTTTCGCTGAAATATTTAAAATATTTCATTTCGAAAGTATTATTCTTACAAAAGTTGAATTTGTTATTTTTGAAAGATTAAAATTAAACAATTAAATAATTTAATTAACAAATGAAATGACGCATTTCATTCTTGCGTCCGTCGACATTTTCGTTGTGTTATTGAAGTAATTTTATAGATAAGTAGTATAGAATGGGATGAAATGATGAAGCAATAAATCCCAGTTGAATTGTTCCTAACCTTTAAAAGTTAATGAACTTTTTGCATTAGTTTCCACTACTAGCTTGGCAAGCTTTTAATACAACAGACGCAACAAGAGACTGATGATGCAAGGGGCTCCAAGCCAATGTGATGCATTGAACCAAGCAATTGGCCTTTTAGCTTGGGCATGGCATCTGAGATCTATGAAATATTGTCACCATCACTTGCTACTTTGTTTAACATTCCTAACCTTTTTAACATTGTCAAGTATGGTTTGTTTAACATTTCTATGGTTTGATTAATTGAATCGGTCGTTTTTAATCATACCAAAATTACCACAGAATGTGTTCGAAAATTGAATTTGTGGTAGTTTTTCATCTTTCATAAATTTTAACTAGAAAATGAATGAATAAAAATGTTTGTTCACTTATATTCATTCATTTACATTCATTTTTTTGTTTACATACATTTGTTTACGTTGTAATTATCCATGTAATTATAATTTTTACTCTATTATTGATTGAATATCCTTCATATGTCATAGAGGTGCTTCCTTGATGATATCACTTAATGCGTCGAAATCACCGTAGTATAACTTGCTTTAAACAAGTCATTATCAGTTCAATGACTACTTATTACAAGTCATCAAACACTACGTGGTTTCCGTGACGTTATTATGAAAGACCTGTCGTGTCCATTCTAAGTTTTAAATATGCATATTTCAGGGGTCGTGGTATTGATAACATCGATCTTTGCTCTATGATGATTAATTTGCAGATCCTTGCTTTAAGGTTTTTTTTCTTACTTACCTTCAAAAAATTTGAAGTTTGATAATTTGGAGATAAAAAGACAGACAGAGAGAGAGGGAGAAGGAGAAGTGACATATTTCAGCCATTAAGACTATTATGAATTATTCACAAAGACTATATACATAATCCAGTGATTAAAGCATGTAGTCTAAAGATTCATCGATTAGGGTAGAGCATATACATTGAGATACAGTCCATTAAATGAGGCGTATAGAATATTAATTAAGAGATCCAGCTTATTCATTAAGGCATGCAATCCACTGATTGAAACATTAGTTATGATTGCTATGAATTAATGTAAAAGTACGGTAATTTTTAGCATGAACAGAGAGAAATGTATAAAACTATTGGAGAATTATATGAAACTTGAAGAATTGTATCTTCGGGAAAATGAAATCGGCAGTTTAAGTGAACTGGGAGCATCCGGGAGATTTGAAGCTATTGAGAATTCTTTGAACTGATGAAAATCCATGCACGGCTAATAACAAGCACTGTGCGAAAGTTTTGCAAATTTCATCTATCTCCTTGCACGTTTGGATGACAAACGTAAATTTATTATATGCATCATTTTCTAACAGTCGTAATGATTTCATTCTTCAACTGTGAATGTTTTTTCAGCGGTAACAATTGATGAACTATTGAAATGCTATTAAATTAATCGGCAAGATGATCAGAGAGCGATTATTGATAAGATTGTTCCGAATCATCCTCATATTCAAGAATTAATGCAGGATCATCTAGTCCATAATCCGGAAAACATTCATCGGCGATCTCCTGAACTGATGATTACATCCTATATGAAGGATATATTGAAATGAAGGATGATAATAATCGAAATTTAATTTTAAGTGGATATTTGCATAATAAAAATAGCATGCTGTGTAAATTGATGAATATTCAAAGGATTCATTTTAGTTTTGTTTAAAAAAATTTCAATTAAAATTTGCGGTGATTGGTTATCGGTAAAAGAATTGTCGTTGAAGGTTGATAAGAGCGGTTTATATTGAAATGAAGAATGATAATAATCGGAATTTAATTTTAAGTAAATATTTGCATAATAAAAATAGTGTGCTATGTAAATTGATGGATATTCAAAGGATTCATTTTGGTATTTACAAAATTAAATACAACTTTTTAATTCCTGGTTTTTGAATATGTCATATGAAAGGTTTTGTCTCTCATTTACATATTAGTGCGTATATTGTTATTTCCTTGTCTTTCCAATTTTGTCTAAACTTTCAATCAGTATTAGCTGTAACAAATTGTTCTACAACATGCAACAGTTGGAGCAAATTTTGCTCAAAAATATTTTCTGCGAGATTAAATATCTCTTCTAAGTTCTATATTTTACTATAATTTCATATTATTTAATAATTTTATAATAAATTACAACTCTTCAGGAAATTTCTTTAAGCTTATTAATTATTGTTGATAAGCTGCTAACAGAAATTGGTTAACGTGAATAATTACAAAAATGACCAAAAAGCAAGTAATAAAGTAATTACGTAAGGCTACTTTAGTGTTACCTTTATATTACAAATATTTGTACTACTACCACTCAGATGAAGCATTACTGCTTTCTAGCTTAGAGATATTACAGTCTGATAAGATGAATCCGATGATGTTTCATAGTACCCAAGATATGGCTCATGATTTCAAACAATTCCATAACTCGCATTTGCCGCAACGACGTAGTGTCAGCCTTCCAAGATCAGTATCATACTCGACATCTGTAAGTTAAGTTTAAGTTTTGTTTTTCTTCTATCAACTTTCCCTTTTTTTCGGCAAATATTTGCTTTGGTCTAAGATAATAAATCATGTTGATGATTTGAAAATATCAACAAAATGTAAGGATTTAAATTTGCAGCATCTTCGGAAAACGCGAATTATTTCTGCTATTAGAGTGCTATTAGATGAGCTTGATGCAGATGGACTTCGTGATGTTGTGGATGAAGCGCAACATAGGATTAGGAAATTGGGATGATCATAATGATAATGATAATAAAGATAATGATAATGATAATCATGATGCTTATTTATTGTTTGCACAATGAGGAGTGAATGACTAATAACGCATTATTTATTGCCACATCTTTTCAAGTGAAAATTTCATCGAAAGATTAATTTTAAGGTAAATTAAGAAAGGAATTATTAAGGAATTGTTCGTTTTTATCCTCTTCCATTTTGCAAAATATTCATTTTATCGTTGAAAATTTAATTCCAGCATCATCTAAACCCTTTTTTACCATGCAGTTTGCTGCACTTTCGTTGATTCAACAAGCACAAATAATGATGAAATTGATAGAAACAAAAATTGGAGGGATGAATTCATTGCAATGAGTTTGAATATTTGACAAATATCTACCTCTCTCCATTGCCTGATAGATCATATAGCTTTGCTTTCTCTTTTTATTCATTTTTTTTCTTAAGAAGAAAAAAGGATCATCTTTTTAGTGAATTATTCATATGACAACACTTATTCCTTGCCGTTCCCTCTGACCTTTCATGTCCATTTCATTTTTCCTTTAATTGATCTTTTTTGACCGTTCTTCGAATTATGGAACTGTTGCAAATTGTAAAATAAATGTATTCCTAATAGTAAGTTAATGTAAAAGTGTCACCATATAGTCAATAACTACAACTTAATATGAGCAGTTAAAATGGAATGGGATAAAATACATAAACATATGGTAACTAAATCAGTTAATATCCTTCATTAAAATGAATTAATATTCTAATGCAAACAAATTAGTGTTCTTCACTTTTAGTGTTTTCCTATTTTTGCTTTTCGTTAAGATGTTTTAATAAAGTAAATGGCATAATTTTGTTGTGTCCAAAAGAAAAATTGAAATAAAAAGGACGTTTTTTGCTTTGTGGAAGATGGCATATAACCCGTAGATAACGGATAGTTCGCTCACATTCACCAAAACTTTTTCCGCTCATACTAGGCCAAGGACATCAAGAACTAAACGTACATACCATGCCCAAAGTCATTTTCATATTCCGTTTTTTTCATTTCCTCATTTTTGTCTCCCTACTACTACTACTACTATTACTTCCGTTTTTCTTCTTTCCTCATCTCTCGGGTATTCTGCTCTGGTACCAGTCCCTCGTTCCATTCTCGTCTTTCAATCTAATATGCGTATATAATTTGTTCCGCTATTTTCGAGCAATTTCTGTTGTTATTACCTCTTTGTTTTCGGTTTTCAGGATAATGTTGTCACTCCTTTCCGTTTTACAGTTTCTTCTAAGCTTCTTGCTGGTATGCTCTTTAACAGGAAAAGAAGTGTTTTAATTATTCGTTTAATGTCTTAATTATTTGTAAAATCAATCAAGTGAAACTTTAATTAAAAACAAAAAAAAAGGAATGAAAGGAAAATATTTGCTATCATTGTTGAAAAAAGAAATTTGTATATTTTGATGAAAATTATAATCAAAATGAAAATGATAATATACAATCGATGATGTGTAAATTATCATATATATATGTATATATATAGTATGTTAAATGATTTATCATATTTCAGTCTGTTATGACGAAAACAATCGATAATAAATTCATAGGTTGGTTTGTAGTGTTTCTATTGGTATTCGTTTCTAAATATTAAGTATTATGAGTATTTTTGAACGGAAAATGAAAATTCACCTTTAAATCTATGCTTCATTCAAAATTTTTCTTTTTCTTCTATCGAAATGAATTAATATTTTTCTCAATTTCCATACTCCTCTTCTTTTTAAAAATTTTAAGAAAAATTATAATTTAACGGATTTGAAATAATGGGAAATTTAATGATTGTGCAGGCATACCTCAAGCAATATGTGGACCAGAGAATATAACAATCGAAGGTACGACTGAAGAATTATTTGAAGGTGTTGTTTTTATCAAGAATTGGCGACGGACGAATGGATGTGCGACAATCTATACTCTCCGCGAAAATACAACGACACCGTCATTTTCAATTCCGATAAATCTCATTGCTCAGTGTGGTTTGGTGTTGCGAAGGAATGTAGGTATAACATCATTTAGAGTAATATAATTGCCATTTATTTAATTTTTGCTAACAAGGTAACTTATACATGTGATAAGAGAAGTGTTTTGCTGATATATTTGCTATTGCTTTAATAAAGATGGTATAAAAATTATAAAGCTTATAAAAAAGTTTCATTGCTGATAAGATAGCTACATTGCTGACAAATTAATTGCATGAACGACGAAAGATTCGTAATTTAATAAGTTTAAATTACAACAAGTTTTTTCAAATATGAAGTACAAGAAATGATAAGGCTGATATTTCAATATTAGGACAATTTTACTTAAAATATATTAGTGTTGCTGTTCACCAACACTTGTGCGGCAATCCCTTATCACTTGTGAATGATATGCGCATGTATAACTAACATTACTTTGCATCTTATAGTATTAATATTAAACCATCGATTACTATTTATTTAACTCAATAATTGAAAGGTATAGAAGCGAAACATTTTTTATTTTTACGTTTCCCTTCAC